TGTGAGAAACACCACCTCCGTCTTCGCAGTGGCCAGCATCAACCCATGATCGTTTAGCCATGCGTTGATGGAGGCCGCAACAAGCCTCACCAATCCTTGCGCTTCGCCTTCGTTCCGCGCAAGTATTAGTGCTGCCACGTCGTCAGCAAAACCCTCTAGCTTTACCTCCTGCGGTAGATCTAGGCGTAGAAGTGCATCATAAAGGATAACCCAGAGTTCTGGCCCGAGGACTGAACCCTGCGCTGCTCCTCCACTCAGCTCCTTCATGACCTGTCCTGCAGTAGTCTCATACATCAGGTAACGATCACTTAGGTAATCATTTATGATGCGAATGAGATACTCCGATAGACCTAATTTCCGAAGCGCCCTCATTATATCCGGCCATCTTGCCGAATTAAATGCATTTTTGACGTCGAACGTCATCATAATGCATACTGGACGGCACCGATGATGGCCCGTCCAGGCCTGTTGAGCAAATGAAAGCGCTTCCGAAATGGCACCAATTGTACTGCAGCCCGGCCGAAAGCCGTGTTGGTTTTCAATAATTTTAAACTTAGTTACTATTGAGTAGCGTTAATTATTTGTGTAGGAGATATAGTAATATGGTAATATTCGCACGTACACTACACACACACATGCGCCGACGCGTCGATCTACTGCGCATGCAGTCACGCCGAAATATTGTATACTCGAGTCAATTATCTATTAGCACGTTGTCGAGTCAAGTCGTAGCATTCTTTTCTATCGTTGTAATTAGTTACTGAATAAATTCATACGTCGTTTTAATTTAGCTTGCTACGATATGTAAAAAGTTGAATTACCGCAAGAAATAGTAAAATATTTTTTATAATAGAATGAAAATCTCCACTCTATAGGATAGTCCCAAACTTTAGCAATAGATGGTCCCAGATTGCTGGTCGAATTCTTGACAAATTCTGACTACAGTCTGGCTCAAGTCTTGACCAATAATCTTTTTCAAGAATCTGAACCAATTCTTGTACAATTCTTGATCTAAAATCTTTTTAAAGTATCTTGACTCAGCTGGCACAAGGCTTTTACCAAATTGCTATACTAGGGGAGCGAGTTGTGAGGCAGTTGATGAGTCGATCTTCGAGCGTACAACTCGGAGGATCTCCAAAGAAGCCAAGGGCAAATCATTATCCAGACGGTGCGAGTTGTATTAGCGAAGACGAGGTCGGCTCAGTTAGTGATAGTTTAGTTTAATTAGTTTTTGGTTTGCGAGCTAACTGGTTAGCATCCTAGAAGTTGTTCAGTTGAGTGTTAATCAGGCTATGGCGAAGACCAGGCCATTAATTAATTTATTCTATCCTGGGGATCTAGTTCGATAGTTAATTGTCGAGTCATTGGAAATAAATTTGTTTATTTAATTGTGATTGTACTGTGCCAATAATTTCAACAACCGAACCTCTTTCCTCATCACTTAGTAGTAATTAGTTAAGTTAATTATATTCTGTGACCGGATACAAGTTTTGGATACCCACTCCTTGAGTGTGAGCTGGCTGAAGTAACTCCGTTCCAGGAGGCCGAGTGAATTTACCATCGATAAATTTTCCTGGTGGCGTCCAGACCATCTCTGGGACAAATAGTATACTTTGGCTAGGGGGTCACAAAACCTGCCAAGGTATTACTGTTTTAAAGTTCTTTTGCCCTTGTGAAACTTCATAAAATTTAAATATGTCATTATTTGCCTCCTATCCCTCAAAAGTTAAATTTATGGAGTGATAATGACAAAAATATTGTATGTCAATTTGACAATTTGACAACGACCTTTTTTTCGATATTCACTCTAATGTTTGTGACACAAATGTTCGAAAACGAGCGTAAATTTCCGTCCTCACCTTCGCCTCGGACATCAAAATTATGCCACAAACCTTAGACTCATATCGAAATATCATCGCGGTCAGAAAATCGCCACTTCAAGGCCTTATGACATAAATATCAAATTCTGCACGACGTAGCCGGAATATAGTAACTTCGTTTAGCGCAGCGGCCAGAAAGTTGCCACTCTCCGGCCGGAGGGCAGAAAATATTTTTTTTGCCCTCCGGCCGGAAAGTGGCAACTTTCTGGCCGCTGCGCTAAACAAAGTTGCCACATTCCGGCTACGTCGAGCAGAAAAATAGTATACACACCTTGGCCAGTAAAAAGTAAAGCCTCAGACCACATGTTTGTCAACCTCGGCTTCGCCTCGGCCAACAATTACATGTGGTCTGAGACTTTTCTTATTTTACTGGCCTAGGTATGTAATCTACTATAGAAATAAGTACTAATATAATTTTCTTTTTTTTAACAACCAAAAAAAAACTCCGTTATTTACGGAGAAGAAAAAAATTTTTTTGGGTTAAAAATTGACGCCAACTAAGGCCAAAAGATCCATCACAAATTCATTACAAACATGAGGAAGGAACTTTTTATACGCTCATTATATCAGGTAACTATCGCACTTGTTTTTTATGTATAGATACGAGTAATTATAGTGATGCTATCAACGTAATTACTGTAAAACCGCGACAAATTGTTTTATCTGATTGATTTATTGCACAACGCACGCGATTTTTTTTTACACGTAATTTTTCGTTTAAAACAACTTAAGTGTATTATTCATTAACAATTAATTTCAATATTATTTTTATGCGTCTGTCTTAGAATCACATCAAAATTTTAGATAAATTGAATCAGTAGATCCATAGATATTGACGAAGAAAGACTGCATTGATTTCGAATATCAATGCTGGTATATAAATGTAATTTCTAGTGTATGATAACACTTTTGATTGTAATTTTTACGCTTCATTATTAGCAAATATAGTTAAAAACTAATTGACTTAGGTAAACTGCCCCAGGTCAAAAACATTAGTCTGCTTGTAAATTCCCGACAGTTTTTAATAATTTTTAGTTAATTTTAGTCAATAATTAGTATATTAATATCAAATATTAATAAAACGAACCGATTACTAAATATTACGTTGATTATGAGACTCAATGCAGCTCAAAAATGTGATAGCTCTTATAAAAACACACAACTCAGAAATCCTAACGCCTCATTGCAATCAAATATAACCAATATTACCAACAAATCTAACAAAAACTAGCTACTTAAAACTATTGCATTGATTATGAAGATCAATGCACCTCAAAATGTTACTTCTCGCGAACAAACACATGGTCTATAAATTCTACCGTGACAATACCAAAACGTGCGACTAAAATTACTTACTATATTGATTTTGAGTGTCAATGCGGTCTAAAAATCCTATTACTTGTATAAAAACACGTTTATTTGAAATTGCAATGCAACTAACAAATATTACTGAAACTGCCTATAAATGAACTATTACATTGATTTTGAACGTCAATACACCTTTTTCTCATATGAAGATAAATGATCTTCAAATTCTACCAGGATATTATCATTACATGTGACAAACTTCCTGCTACGTGATGTTGATCGTCAATGTAGTCTAAAACTGCCAATTTCCTATAAAAAAAAAAAAAAAAAAAAAAAACGTTTTGCCGTTCCAAAACATTTTTCTCTTGACCTTCAATTCCCCAACATAATTACCCCGGAAAATCAAATTTCACCTCATAATCATCGGAACTCTAATGTTAATAATCGGAACTCAATTACTACAAATCCCGACATACTCAGCCGCAATAACCCAACATCCCTGAATTCTTTCACTGGAGGGTGGTAAACATCCTGGAGGACATAAAAACTTAAGGCAAGGTTTTAGTCGGGTACTTAGCCCCCCTCCTCAAGATTCCGGGTTCCATCGGTACATAATCGGAATTTACAAGCAGCCAGGGAAACTTATTTTCGATGAGAAGCGCATTTTCGAAACTGAAGCAAATGGCTGCCCAAATCGTTCTAGATGAAGTTCACGAAAAAGTACCATCTTGGTGCTCCAATCACCACGAGTTTTTATGAAGCTGTTTACGATGATTTTGTTCCGCTGTTGTATAAAAAAATCGGGCTTTAATAATAAACAATGATAATTTAATAATTAATTTCACAACCCAGTCATGCAAAATAATTTTTCGTCATAAAAGCATGTGAATAAATATTTACCAAAAAAGCGGCCATTTTGTTCTTAATTCATAATTTCTTATTATCTTTAAAATTAATTAATTTAAATAACTGATTAAATATTAACACTTATTAGTTTACTTAACACTGTTGCAATTTAGCGTTAAGTTTGGAGGAATTTTTTATTTAAAGTAATCCACAGACATCTTGGTATTAATACACCGGGAGTTTTCGATCAAGCAACCTGCTGGAAGATGAAGATTCTATTGAGTGAGTATCATCAATATTTTTTTATTTTACTGGTACTAACCTCGTTTTCGCGGCAGTTTTTTTCGGCCTCCTTGGGGCTGTCGTGTGTCCTGACGTCGGCTCGGCGTTTAAAAAGGCGAACCTTGTCACTGATTTTATGAACTCTGCACCCAAGGACGAATTGACGGTAAGTATAGGTAAATTTAGGAATATGTGCCATTTTGATGTTGTGATAGAGATTTTTTGGATTTTTTGTTTAGGTATCCTATGGAAATGATAAAATGATGATGGGCAATAATTTCACACTACTGAAAACTATCAGTAGACCGGAAGTTTCCTACGAATTTCAGAAAGACGAGTATTACGCTTTGGTTCTGTTGGGTAAGTTTTTTTATTTATATTGGTTAGTGAAAAAATTACATGGAGTTGATTGGAGGAAATTAGACTTAAGCTGGATTTTGCATTGATGTTCCTTAAGCTTAGTTTTCATTTTACTGTTCCTTAAGGAAATTTTCAATTTAAATGTTCCATATATCTGGTTTTTATGTTGATGTTCCTTAGGGTGCGTTCGCGATGGACGCTTATATGCTGTGAGCACATGAATATTAGGGTGTGCCAAAATGTAACTTCCTTGATGGACCTCTTAAAATTGGAATTTTGAGTTCCGCTTTTAACAGGAGTTGTGTTTGGGCATTTCCTGATATATGTTTTAAAATGGGTTTTTGCTTGGAGTTGGGCTTTTTTAAAGTTTCATATCATTCTCACCAATAGTCAATTTATTATAATAAGAATTTAGGCTGCATTCGAAAACGCTCTGAGTCTTGATACATAATGAAGAAATTATCTTGTATCTGGTAAACGATTGAGATTGTTGAAGATATAAGCTTATCCCAATGTTACACTCATTAGGAGCTTTCATTTGAATACCCACATGCATTTTGATATATTTTTCATATATACATATATATAATATATATAAATATATAAAATATATGAAAAATTGATGTGAGTACTCAAATGAAAGGTCTCGATGAGTGTAATGTCGGAATGAGCTTATATCTATAAAAATGTGAATAATTCAAAAGATACACGGTCATTTCTCAATTATATGTCTAGAGATATAGCATTTTCGAATGCAACCTAAATACTTATCATCATAAATTGACTATCGATGAGAATGATATGAAAATCATGTTGCTGTCACATGAAAATCATGTATCTGCCACAGGAATGTATCATGTGGCACTCCCAATTTTTTTTTCCCGTGTAGGATTTAAAACTATATATCGTGGGAACCATTCCTATACTATTATGGGAATGCTTCCCATAAATTATGGAAACCATTCCTATAATAGTATAGGAATAATTCCTATAATTGTATAGGATTGATTCCTATAGCATTATGGGAACCATTCCCATAATGGTATAGGAATAGTTCCCATAATTTTTTTTCCGTGTAGTTCCTTAAGTCAAGTTTCCATAATAATCTTTCCTAAATCAAAATTCTTCATTACTGTCTCTCTAGCCTAGTTTCTATATACATGTTCCTTAAAGAAAGTTTCCATGTAAATTTTCCTTAAGTTATTTGTTTTATGTTTATGTTTTTAAGCCTAGTTTCCATGCTAATATCCCCTGTTACGTTCTTTTATGTTAATTCTTCTCAAACCAAATTTCCATGGTAATATCCCCTAAGTCAAGGTTCTCTATAAATGATACTTAAGACTAGTTTCTATATTAACGATCTTTAGGTCAAAATTTCATGTTTATGTTCCTTACGCCAAGTTCTCATATTGGTGTTCCGCGTGTTATTGTTGTATGTTAATGTTTTTTCAGCCTAGATTCCATAATCTTATTCCTTTAGGCAAGTTTCCATTTTCATATTCCTTAAGTAGAGTTTCCATGTTAATTTTTCTTAAGTAAAGTTTTTATGGTAACGTTCCTTAAGTCACGTTTCCATGTTAATATCCCTAAAGTTATTGTTTTATATTAATGTACCTTAACTAACGTTTCTATAATAACGGTCCTTACGGCAAATTTACATGTAAATGATCCTTAAGACAAATTTCCATAGAAATTATTTACCCGACCTGTAACCAGAACAATTCAAAATCTCTAAAACATAAAAATATATTAAAATACTTACAGACGCAGACCCCTTCAGCGAAAAATGTCCCTTCGGCGGGGAATTTCTTATGTGGTTAATAGTAAACATTCGTGACAAAGTGAGGAACGGAGAAGAAATAGTAGGCTACCAGTGCCCCTTCCCCCTCCCCGGTACCGGTACTCATCGGTACCCGATTCTGCTGTACAAACAACCTAAAAAAATCTCCTTTGATGAAAGGTCCGATTCACCCTTCGACATTGACAGTCGGCTCTTTTTTTCAGTTAAATCTTTCGCGAAGAAATATAATCTTGACGATCCGATCGCTGGAAATTACTTCACCGTTGGATTCAATCTTCCTTTTTTCAACGGAAATTTCAATATTACTGAACTTCTACAATAGTTTCAATAAATATTAAGCTTTACTCTGTAGGTTGTAATAAAAATAAATTTTGCTATTTTAAAAATTTTGTACAATTTTTTTTCATCTCAATTTCGTAATTCTTCATTATTCAGGCTTTTGTAATTTCATACATGTTTAAATTATTTAATAAATGATAACATTTTTTTTATTATAACTATTTAATGTTAATATTATGACTGAATGCGTAAAAAAAATCAATTTCTGCTTATGCATGACAAAATGGCGGCCAGTGAGCAAACAAATGGTGGGAAATCTATTTGTTTTAACAATATTATCTGATATGTAAGACTCAAAAAATATTTACTAAGAGGTCTTTAAAAATTGAAACGTAAAAAATGATCAGGCGAAAGTAATCCATGAACATCTCGTTTTTGGTTGAGCTCCCAATCTTTAAAGGCGTACCAGCTGCAAGATGAAGATGTTAACAAGTAAGTTAAATAAATATTTTTTGGATTTATTTTATAACGAACATATTATTTTTCTAGTTTTAGTTGCGGTTATTGTTTTGGTAGATCTCGCAGATTCCACGAAAAAATCTGTACCAGCAGCTTTCAAGGCCGCGAATCTCTCTAAAGTTCTTAATATCACGATCAAAAATTTAAAGCTAATGACAGTAAGTATGAATAATAATAAAAAATTATTCTGAGTACAATTAAATTCTTCGTGTGGACTTTAGCTTCGAATGATGGATAAACGGTTAGAGATACCGAAGAAGTGATGAAGACTTTTTTTTATAGAACATCAAATTTCCTATAAAAAATGTCTCTTATAATCTTTCTTTTGATAATTAAATTGCTTGTTAGAATGCTTCAAATAAATTATTCTTAAAACTTTTGACACAATATCTGTCTAAAGAATACAAATTACGGAAAAATGATAGGAAACTTTTTTTGGATAAAACTAAATTTCCTATAAAAAATCTCTCTTATAATTTTGTCATATTTCCAACTCTTAGCACTCAAATTTCAATTTAAAGTTTTTACTCCCGCGCTCTGGGATGTACCCTTAACTTTACAATGACTATAACTCCTAACCTACTCGCCCAATTTTTCTGATTTTTTTAAAACTTATCTTTAAATAGTGTCTTCTAGATCTCTATAGAAAATCAGCCTAAAATTCCGCCTTACAAATTTAATTTCATTAATTACTTATATATATTTTCTATTAAGGTAACATATCCAGATCCACCCAAAAAAGTTTTCTTAGGCAACAATTTAACGCAAACAGATACTTCGACTGAGCCTACGTATGATTTTGACTATCGAACTAATCGATATTACGCCTTACTAATGACCGGTAATTATCCCATCAGACTAATTAATAATAATAGTAGTAATTAACAACCAATAAATAACAAAAAAACATTCACTTCAGATCCCGATGTACCGTCTCCGTCAATTTCCCTACCAGGAGAATTTTTCCACTGGTTTGTCGGAAATATTCCCGGCAACAGATCATCCTCAGGAGAAGACATACTGAATTACTTTCCACCAGTACCGCCACCTGGAACCAAGCCACATCGCTATACATTTCTGCTTTACCGACAACGTAAGAAAATGAATTTCAGCGATGGCTCCCTCCTGGGAATTGATCTGACCAACCGTCTAATGAGAAGAGCAAGCGTTCTGGCGAAGGAACTTAACCTTGGTGATCCGATCGCTGGAAATTTCTTCTATAAAGGGTTTGACGTTCCTGTCGTACATGGAGCACTCAATGTAGTTTAATTTTCTAGAGCGATTTGCTTCTAAAAATTTAATACAATCATTACAACTGAATTATTTTATTATTTAAGCTTCAATAACTTGGTAATCATTCATTCAACCCTAAATTTTAGGTTAAACATTGAGAATATGGAAAAACCATCTGAAACCTTTCTTGTAGGAAATTCAATTCTCTACAACAAAGTTTTAGTCAATTTTCGTATATTTCAAACTATTTGGACGGAATTTTGATCTGAAGTACTGATAGTTTATATTTATACTTAAAGTCTATATAAATTTATAATCATTTGGTCAAATTAAAAAAAAAGTAGGATTAGAGGTCCAATTTTTTGTAAGGATCTAGGGGACAATATTTGACGATAAGTTTTGAAAAAATCAGAAAAATCGGTCAAGTAGATTAGGAGTTATAGTCGTTGCAAAATCAAGGTACACCTCAAAGCGTGGAAGCAGAAAAATTTTAATGTAAATTTCTGAGCTAAATATTGAAGATACGACAAATTTATAACATATCTTCTTTATAGGAAATTTAATCTTCTCAAAAGAAGGTTCTAACCAATTTCTTCTTGTCACTATCCATTTGGCCACAATTTGAATTCAAAGCACTGAAAATCGATAGTTGAAGTAGAAGCCTATGAAAATTAGAATTATTCAATTAATTTGTAAAAAATAGGATTTGAGTCTTGATTTTTTACAGCCTTATCTTTGTGATGATTTATTAATTATGCTTCAATGATATTCTTAAGATTTATTCAACCATAACATCGGTGAGTGTCAATGTTAACATTATGATTGCGCAATTTGATTTTTATACAATAATCATATTATAATAATTGTTATTAATATAATTAAAAAATGATAAGTTCAAGATTAAAGAACGTCCTTGAAAAATTTATTAAAATTTAAACATAAAAAATTGATCAGGTGACTTGGAAATCATACTAATGAACCCGATTATTAAATAAATTCAAGAATTATTATTTTATGAGAGGTAATTTTTGAGTAAACGAATATGTAAATTTGAATTACTCAGCAAACATTTACCAAAATGCCATTATAAAGTTGAGTGATAAAAAAAATTGTACAAAAGTAATCCACGGACATCTTGTTTTCGGTTGATCTGATAACTTTTCAAGATATACCATCTGCAAGATGAAGATGTTAACGAGTAAGTTAAATGAATATTTTTGGATTTATTTTATAACGAACATACTATTTTTCTAGTTTTAGTTGCGGTTATTGTTTTGGTAGATCTCGCAGATTCCACGAAAAAATCTGTACGAGCAGTTTTCGAGGCCGCGAATCTCCTTAAAGATCTTAATATCCCGAACAAAAGTTACGAGCTAGTGACAGTAAGTATGAATAATAATAAAAAATTATTCTGAGTACAATTAAATTCTTTGTGTGGACTTTAGCTTCGAATGATGGATGAACGGTTAGAGATACCGAAGAAGTGATGAAGACTTTTTTTTATAGAACATCAAATTTCCTATAAAAAATGTCTCTTATAATCTTTCTTTTGATAATTAAATTGCTTGTTAGAATGCTTCAAATAAATTATTCTTAAAACTTTTGACACAATATCTGTCTAAAGAATACAAATTACGGAAAAATGATAGGAAACTTTTTTTGGATAAAACTAAATTTCTTAAAAAAAGCTCTCTCACAATTTTGTCATATTTCCAACTCTTAGCACTCAAATTTCTATTTAAAGTTCCTTCTCCCGCGCTTTGGGGTGTACCCTTAACTTTGCAATGACTATAACTCCTAAACTACTAGCCCGATTTTCCTGATTTTTCATAATTTGTCTTTGAACAGTGCTCCCTAGGTCCCTACAAAAAATCACTTTCAAATACCGACTCAGACAATTAATTTTGTTAATTACTTCTTTTGAATTAAGGTGAAATTTGGCCCCGCAATATGTTATTTAGGCAACGACTTGACGAAAGCTAATACTTTTATCAAGCCTACGTACCATTTCAACTTTTTATATCATAAATTCTACACCCTACTAATGACTGGTAATTATTCTACTACAATATTTAGGACATTAATTACCAACAAATAATAGAATTAACGATTTTAGAGCCGGACATGACGACACAAACAGCTCCGTTGCCAAAGGAACTTTTCCACTGGTTAGTCGGAAATATTCCTGGGAATAGATCATCCTCAGGAGAAGAGTTAATAGGTTACTTGCCACCACTATCGCCACCTGGAACTAAGGCTCATCGTTACACATTTCTGCTTTACCAACAACCTAAGAAATTGAATTTCACCGATGACTCCCTCTTGGGGATTGATCTGATCAACCGGCTGTTTAGAACAGCAAGAGCTTTTGCGAAGAAATATAAACTTGGCGATCCTATTGCCGCAAATTTCTGCTATAAAGGGTTTGACCTTCCTATTGTACACGGAGCGCTCAATGTAGTTTAATTTTCTCGAGCGATTTGCTTCTAAAAATTTTATAAAATCATTTGAATTGTACTATTTTATTATTTAGAATTCAAAAATTTGTTAGTCATTTATTCAACTCTAAATTTTAGGTTAATTATTGAAAAAATTTTGGAAAATCCAAAAGTGCACGCCTCATAATCTCATTTTCTATAATAAAATTAATTTTTCTGCCCTCCGGCCGGAAAGTGGCAACTTTCTGGCCGCTGCGCTAAACAAAGTTGCCACATTCCGGCTACGTCGAGCAGAAAAATAGTATACACACCTTGGCCAGTAAAAAGTAAAGCCTCAGACCACATCGGCTTCGCCTCGGCCAACAATTACATGTGGTCTGAGACTTTTCTTATTTTACTGGCCTAGGTATGTAATATACTAAAAATAAAATACAAAAAATATTTTTAAATCTTTCGCGCCATTGTCCACCGAAAAAAGAAAGGTACTGCACATGTATTGTAAACGAACCTTATTTACATAGATATAGATATACAAACGGTTAGTGGATTTTTAGTTTATTGCTAATTATAAATAAACTACATTGAATTAGACCGTGATTTTCGATAGGACTTAGTTTTAAATCATACTGAAGCGTATAAAAAATAAATGGACTTGATCAGTTAAGTTTTTCGGCAGTTATCGTGACCACGCCGGTTTTCATACATACATTTGACAGCCGGACGTCTACGGAATAATTTTTTTAAACATTTTTTTTATTTATTTAAAAAGCAAAATGTCTTTTTAAAATGTCATAAGTGTCGAAACTAGTGTTTTTCTATTACATTTATATGTAAATATTGTTCTACAAGTGCGGTAGAAAATAAATAGAGACAATTTTAGTTCAAGAAATCGCTTGATTTTTGTAAGGTAAGTGTAGAGCACAACCTCATCCGCTTCGCTTATGAGGCGCGCAATACGCAAAAACCATATTGACGTTCTAATTAGTAAATTGTCTAACTCCATTTTAGAGAATCTTCTATTTGTACGAAAAAAACAATTCTCAGACAACACCCAAGTCAGAAGAATTTCTTAAAGATGTCTTTTCAAAGACTTCCTTGAGAACTCCAAATATGACGTCTTAAAGACCTCATTTTTCGGAACTCTTGATTAAGAAGTTTTTTTTTAAGTTCTATAAGACATCACAGATATGAGCTCTTTGAGAAGTCTTTTTTCCGACTTCGTAAGAGGTCAAAAAATGAGCTGTTTAAGAGGTCTTTTTTTATACTTTCCAAGACATCAGAAATATGAGCTCTTTAAGAGTTCTTTTTTTCTGACTTCGTAAGACTTCAAGAATAGGAGCTCTTGAATAGGTTTTTTTTTTCTGATTTTGTACTTCGTCAAAATATGGGACTTAGAAAAATTTTTTTCACGTTATTGAAGAATTTTTAAAATGATAAAAAAATAAAAATAATCGCATTCGAGTGAACTCATTTCGCTGTGTATTTATTTTTGTATTATAAAAATATTATCGTAAATAGCAAAACGTTCAGTGATTCTACTTATTAAAAATTAAATCGATAATTAAATCGAAAAGTATTTTTTTTTTTATTTTTGGGTAGAAAAGTTGATATCAAGTTATTTATCGTTGCTATAAGTCGTTTGTAATCTTATGTGAACATAAGAGCTTATGTAGAGAAAAAAAATTTACTATTTCATTAGGAGCAGCTAGCCAAGGCAGACCAGGGGACACCACATCACTGAAGTTAAGACGCATTGGTCATGATAAATACTTGGATGGGAGACCGCTAGTAAATTCGTATTCTGCGAGCGATACCATTTTTTTTTTTTTTAATTTTGAAGAAAATATATTTTAATGTACTTGATTGTCTTCAATTTAAGCTCTTTTTTAATATTAATTACAATTAAAACTGAAAATGTCTCCTCTATGAACTATTTTTTTCTGGAGTCAGAAAGGGCTCTTAATTCTGACTTCTTTAAGAACTCTTTTTTTGAAGTCAGAAAAAAGAGCTCTTTAAGAACTCTCTCTATGAAGTCCTGATTCACTCTTTAGGTGGCGCATTGGACGTCCTCAAAACGTCTTGGAGACCTCATTTTGATCAAAATTTTGACGTCTAAATCTTAAATAAGAGTTCGTTGAGAACTGTAAAAGACGTCATATTGCTATCTGGGTTAGTTCAAAATTCATTATCACTTTAAAAAACCATTTAATATCATTATTATCTATTAGAGATATAATATTTAGGTTTGAATTATTCAAATAATTTATAATTCGATTATGGCTACATCAAAATGGTAAAAAAATCACCCTCTAAAAAATATGGAGTTAGACAAATTACTAATTAGACCGTCGATATGAAACTTTTCTTGTAGGAAATTGCACGACTCATGATGCGAAGCATCAGAGAGTGCTTTACGATCGAAAAATTTTTTTCGCCCCATTTTGGCAACTATTTTTAGTATTATAGCCTTTTTAGTTCACGGAATCAAGATATTTTGCATACAATTATCGAGATAATTTAATGGAGATTAATTCCATACTTGCTAAAAATTAATTTAGTGCAATAGAAACGGAAAAAAGTATCAAAATAGGTCAAAAAATTTTCCTGTCCGTCATGTATGAAACTCCGGAAACACTGTAACTTGTGAAAAAATCAATTATTTGAGTTAAATTTTTTTTTTTAAATTCTAATCGACAATTGTAGGTCACCGAATGCGAACGGATAATTAATTCAGTGTCGTTTAATTACAATTAATAAAAAACGAAAACTACAAGACTGTATACCTATATATATATCCATGTAAAATAATATGGATGGTGATATATCTATATCTATAGATATTATGTACATTTATTCCACCAGAGGCGCTTGTGCAGTACCTTCCTAGTACAGCTGTTTTTTCGGCAACTAATTTTGAACTTGTTTTTTTTTTTTTTTTTTTTTTTTTTAATATTTTATTATTAAATGAGCATTATGAGTCGTGCACTTTGGGATTTTCCAAACTTTTTAATTTTCTATAAGAAAATATTCTGTCAATTTTCTTTTATTTCTAACCGTTTGGCCAGAATTTCAATTCAAAGTTCTAAGAGTGCATAGTAGTACTGAAAATCCATAAAATTATTATTATCTAGTTACATAAAGAAACAAATAGGATTTGAGACCCGATTTTGTGTAGGGGCCTAGGGGACACTATTTGACGATAAGTTATGAAAAAATTAGCAAAATCCGTTGAGTAGATTAGGAGTTATTGTCATTGCAAAATCAAGGTACACCCCAAAGCGCGGGAGCAAGAAAATTTTAATTGCCATTTCTGGATTAAGGATTGGAGATACAGAAAAATCATAAGAGACCTTTCTTTTAGGAAATTTAAAACTCTACACAAAAGTTTCTAATCAAATTTTCTGTATCTCATATTATTTTTCCAGAATTCAAATTTTAAATTAAAAACCATTTTATAAATTTTTCGTCATTTTTAAAACTTTAAATTGCGAGTTCTTGCTAAAATATTTAAAATACAAAAAAATCATAAGAAAATTTAATTTTCTACAAAAAAAGATTTTATCACTTTTCTCTCGGTACCGATACAACCTTGTTACGTCACAATTCAATTAAACATACTCATGTAAAAAAATTCGATTTGAATCTCAATATTTTAGTAAAAAAAAAAAATTCCCAATATAATTTAAAACTCTTATTTAATCATTAATTAATGATTAATGTTAATATTATTTCATCCGTATATTTGTTTTCCGATAATATTCGCTTTAATTAATTCCAATTTGTAAAGAAACAATTGTATTCCCCACTAATTTTTTAAAGATCGAGATGATAAGATTTTTTCCAGGTAACAATATTTTTTTAAATCAATAATTTCTTCAATAATTATTAATAATTTCTTTAATACTAATTTTTTTCTAGTCTTGATTGGAGTGTTCGCCGTAGTGACAGCATATGGTGATTTTAGTTATATCGAGTATGGTATCATACCAGATGTTTTGAATTTTGAACCATATGCTCTGTTACAAGTAAGTAACAAAATCATTAATTTAAAAAAAATAAACATAATTAATTATTAAATTAATTTATGATTTTTTTAAATCATTCGAGTTAATATATGGCGACATATTCGTTAACCCAGGAGATATTTTGACACCAACAGAAGCCAAAGATGCACCAGAAATTTATTACCCATTCCAAGATGGAGAGTATTATTTTTTTGTATTGACAGGTAAATTTCTTAATTATTAAAATGAGTCACAATTTTAATCGTCAAAATGATAAAAAAGAACAGATTAATTTATATTAAACTAAAAATATAAAATTTTCACTTTCTGCGCTCGTATTTTGAAACACATTTTCTGCTCGTTGTCCCAACACACAAATTTTTTTTTTATCTAGAGAATTATTTAAATACTCTTCATCAATAAAAAAAATTGTAAGCTTTAAAATAATAAAAATAGCCCTAGTAGCAATTTGGTCCAAGCCTTGGACAAGTCTGGCTCAAGAATCGTGATAAAGTATCTGTATATACAGATTTTTACAATTCTTGGACAAGAAGCTTACAGCAGATCATTCTTCAAGAACCGTCGAAGAATCGCTCCAGATATCTGACCAAGATTCTTGGGCAAGACTGTGGCCAGAATTCGTCCAGCAAATGGCCAGAAATGGAGAGGCTCCTCACCACCACATTTTGAGACTTAGTTGTCAAGGCAGAAGTTCTCTTTCTTATTTCAATACAAAAACAATGCGCACTGTGAGTCTTTTTCGTTTCTCGCGCAAGTCTGGGTGAAACTTCTTTACCAACAATCTGGATAAATTCTGGCCACAGACTTGTCACTAAAGTTGACCAAGTATTGCTCCAGATTCTGTTTTAAAATCTTGTCCAAGTCTGTCGCCAGTCTGGACAAATAATCTTGGTTAACTGTCTGGCTCAAGAATTGTCCGATTCTGTTTCCAGGGCTTGGTCAACTATCTGGCCAAAGAATCCTGTCCAAAACTAATGTTACTAGGGTAATTTCAGTGTTAATAAAACTTACCTAATTGACCATCAGAATTGCATACCCAACTGAATAGTTGACCCCACTCGTTTATCGCTAACGTATGACTAGCACCACAGACCGCTTTTTTGAATACAAAAGCTTCAAGGTCTGATACCAGTTGTAATTTCTTCCTAGGTTTATCATGTCCCAATTGTCCGCTGTCATTATTGCCGCAAGAGTAAATTTTACCGTCTTGAGTAATAACAACTGTGTAATTATTATCACAAGCAATGTCTTTTATCTCAGTATAGCTTGTTTAAAGCCAGTTACTTCTCTAGGTACATTTATTATTTCTTCTTCTACACCAATTAGGCCCAACTATTTTAATAAAAAATTTTTAATGTATTTATGATACCAGGTCCGGATGCTCCGGGGGACAGTTATGAAACAATGCCGGAATTTTGGCACGGTGCGATAGTAAATATTCCTGGTGACAGAATTTCAGAAGGAGAAACTCTGATGGGCTACATGACTCCAAGTCCTCCTGACGACAATTTTTACCATAGATATGTTTACCTGGTTTACAAGCAACCTTGCCTGCTGGATTTTGTAGACGAGCCGCGGATATCCGAGACTGAAACCAAGGGAAGATCTGCCAAGTCTGTGAGGAAGTTCGCGGAGAAATATGACCTGGGGGATCCAATTGCTGGAAACTTTATCCGGGCCACTGCTGACGAGTACAGCTTACAGCTTCGAAGTCAAATGTTGTGAGGTGTTGATAAAATATCGAATGAAATTTCGTTGATTCAAATATAAATTATGTATGATGTAAAGACAATAAAAATAGTTAATTTTCCTGATTATGCTTATTTAATTATTTGTAATCTTAAATATTAATTTTTGAGTAATCGGCTGAGCCGAAAAAAATAATTTTAAGGACTGTTACACTAAAATCTATAGATTATGCTTTTTATAAGATTTTTGAATAGAGGAATGGAGATACCAAAATCAATTCAAAGTCCTATCATATTATTTGGTACAATTATAAACTACTAGAACTTTACATTAGATTTCCGACTTAAGGCTAACCGATATCGAAAATTACAAGAGACCTTCTTTGTAAGGAATTACCCGATAAGAAACTTGTTTGAGATTTCTTAAGGTATATATCTGGACCTCACTGGAATTTTCAACTGGGAAATCCCAATAACGACCCAAGAAGAACCCAATTTGGAAATCCCAATCGCGTACGGATCTAATTTTAAAATATTTGACTAGTAATTTAAGATTTCAGAAATACGTTTTTTCACCCATGAAACTGCATTGAATGCCGCTAACCAAGATAAAATCGAACGATGTGTTCGAAAATTATAGCCATTAAAAAATTTCTAGATGATCGTTGTTTTTTGTATAACTTCGGGATTTTTTAGCTCGCAAATCTCAAAAATCAATCAACTGGAAAATTAGCAGCGTATCTCGAAAAACAGCGGGAAATTTCGAGAAAAGCTGGAAGGGTTAACCGTTTTTTATTCATTTCTTCAGCTGTTCAATAAATCGACACGTTGGTTGCACCAAATAAAAATATCAACAGTCCAGTTTGTAATGTATGATATTATTTGCTTACCGATGGAAGATTAGAGGAACGAACGAGCTAGGGTACAGCTCTCAAGGGACTTTTGGTCGATAGTTTCTACAGCACCAGGAGTTCTGGTAGAGGCCTCAGTCTGTTTTATGGAAGCAATAAAACTTCCTTTTCTTAGAACCAAGTAATGGCTGGCCTAGTTGACGTGTCATTTCTACAAAGCTCCACACTAACTTTAACGATGTTTTACCGCCACATTGTAAGCTGCAGTTGTCATGGACAACAATTCAAAACAAAGTCAGACATTTTGCAAAGTATTCAGTCGGCAACTTAACTTCAAACCGCTCAGTCGCTAGCTTGTCAGACGAATCGTCGTTACTTTTTTAAATACATCAAAGAACTTTAGAGTTTCAAAACGTTTCTGATATTTAATTCTGCAGGATTCACTTTCTAAAGTAATCATCAACAGATTAATGATGCGGTTGATTAATATTATTTTATGCTGCTGCTGCGTATTTACTGGTCACTTTTCAAATGGAAGCAGCATTGACAGTTCAGAAATCAAATCACAGCTCATCAATCATACGGTAAGTTGATTATTTTGCACGTCTTGAGCTTAAGCATGATCAAACTTTTTTTTTTAACTTAAATAATTGTTAATCGTTGTTACAATCACTTATTTTTCTTGCAGATGGAATTAATTGATAGATGTTTTGCAAATAATTCTAACCCACTGATAATATCTTCTGACTTAGTTGATGACCAAGTGGCAAGCAGGAGTATTGATAATGGAAGTCCGCTGGTTGTCATAAATGATGATCAGAGACGGAAGCAAATGGAAGGATATCTTCCCAGCTATCCTACGTACATCCTCAGATTCGAATCTCTGCAGAAACTGGTATCACTCATCTTTGGGTTCATGGGCTCAACAATCTGGAGTATAAAGTCACCAATTTTCATTCTCGACATTTCTGGAGGAACGCATGATAAAAACGCTTCGATGGTTCTTGGTTTCCTTGGAAGTCTCGATATATTGGTATCATATTATGAGTGTTATGATGACAAAAAAGATTCAACCATGGTCTACACTCAGAACCTTTTCACACAATACGCTCTGCCACCTTGGAATCAAGTTATAATTGCAAATGCCAAAAGCAATAGTAAAACAAAGTCGGTACTATACAGTCTGCAGTATCCGAAAGGTAATTAATCATCAAGTTTAATAATATTGTTTACGATGCAATTGTATAAGCTAAATTGTGTCTCTCAATTGATTTACAGATTTGAAGAACAACTATAAAAACATTTATTTTGATAAAACTCAGTACTTAGGTGGTCATGAAATAAAATTAATGATCCCTATCATTGAAAAAAATGTACCTGAACAGTACAAGCAGAAAACCATTATTAACTACATGAATTATGTTGAAAAATTCAAAGACGTCGGATTGTATTCATTACCTGATTATATAATACCTGAAAGTAATAGCATCAATTCAAATCCTTGAAAACAATTCCGATTTAAAAATAATAAAATACGGTTTTGATAAAAAACTTTTGAGTCGTCAGTATGATGCGAAAAACGTCATGAACCAATTAGCTGATACAAATTTTAAATTAACTGATTTTGTGACACAGTATAGTGAAACGCAGTATTCAATTCTGACACAGAAAACAGATTATTTGACGGCACTCACCGCAATCCACATAAATTTTCAGTTGATCTTCACCACACTTTTGGTTTTGTTTATAATTGCAGTAATCATAATCATGAACAATAAATTTAACGTGAGTGAAGGAATCATGGACATAGTGAGCATGTCACTGAGCATGGGGATAATGTCTCCAATGGGACGTCTCTCGATGAGGATCATTTATTTCTTCGGATTTTTATTCATTTTTGTGGTGATGCCCGAATTCCAAGGACAAATCTCGGTTATTCTATCCCAACCTGCAAGACGCAATGTCGAGACCCTAAAGGACTTGTTCGACAATAAGTATCATGTAGTTTACGATGCGATATTGGAAAAAGACATGATTAATGAAAAATTGTGGGTGACCGAAGAGGACCAGAAATACTTGCATCCATCATCTCATGCTGGGCTGCAAGAATGTGCGATAGAAGCCCAACAAAATTCAGGTATCGCTTGCATCTGCTCTACTGATCAACAACTACTCAACGTTTTGAACCTTAAAAATCTCTATGTATCAAAGGAAATCACGTTCAAGAAATATTTTGTGTATTGGTCAAAGAAGAACTGGGCGCTGAAGGAAAAAATTGATAAGCTCCGTTCAATACCGGTGGAAACAGGAATAATTTACCATATCGATGAAGAGGTAACGAAAAACCTATGGAGAAAAATAGAAAAGATGGAGAAAATCAAAGAAGCTGAAAACTATGAACGGATTGACTTCGATAACTTGGTGTTTTATTTCATTGTGTTTGCGGCTATTTTGGAATTGTGGAGTTTGGTCATTTTTGGAATTGAGCTTACTGTTCACCACTATCACTCTAAACATCAAAGACAAGAAAAGGAGCGACGACAGTTCATTGAGAGATTGAGAGCACAACCATGGAATATTTCATCCCCAGGTCGAATAGTTCCGTCAACTTCTCGCGAGTGATTCAAATAAAGGAAAAGTCAACCATCGAATTAGTAGATAAGTTTTGTTTTGCAATTTTAATACCTATTATTGTTATTGATCTGTGAGTATTTTTTTCTTTAGCGTGTGGTTTTATATTTTCTACATAGAAAGAATGAATTTCTTGCCCCGAGTCATTTTTTTCGGTTAAAAAAAAAATGTTGTGTATTTTGGATTGGAATCAGAAATTTTATCAAAACAAGAAAATAATTTTCGAGAATTTTATTACTTAGACTTGAAATTTTCGATTAATTAATTCGCCAGTAAAATTTTATACTGTCCTTGAGATTATTTTATCTCATCTTGATAAAATAGTTTATTAAATTAAGAAATATTTTTTGTCCATTGAGATTATTAAACTTTCGCTAAAACAATTACTTAATCTCGAACCATAATTATCTTCGTTCTAAGAAAATAGCAGTATGCAATGAGGAGAGAGCTAAAAATTTTCTTGGCTCAAGTGAGTTCGAGCACGTTTAAGCAGTGCCTAGTTAACCATATAAGTATTTTTTATTGAAATATAATTGACGTGTTATGTTTTATGGAAATGACTTTGAGTTTACGAGATTTAATGTATATAAAGAGTGTGAATTAATTAGTATTTTAAATCTAATCTTAATGTATGTATGCTATTTTGTGGTATTAAAAAAATCGATTGCAAAATATTATTGCATACTTATTTTAAAATATTTAAATTATTTCGAAAATTTTTAATAAAGTAATTTAAAAAAAAAAAAACGACATCCGATCGCACCCGACATGGAAGGTGTATACTTCATAAAATAGATTTAAGGTAAAAATTTTTGAAAAATTAGATTATTATAACTCAAATCAGACGACATACCATCAGTTTTAATGAGGACCTAACAGGGTTTTGCGTGATGACATCCCAATGTGCGGACCCAAGAGGAGAACCCACTGAAGACCCAATTGGTTCTACTTTCAAATTTCTAGTCGGGTAAATTCCCTACAAAAGAGGTCCTTATCAATTTTCCCTTATCTCTTATCATTTCCTTATAAAACTAATTCAAAGTCTTTATCATTAATTATTTAGAACAATTGCATGCTTTAAGCGCGAACACGCTAAGGCATAGCTCTACTGGGGCCTAAAAATCAAGTTTTCTATCTCATAAAGAGAAATTGTATTTTTAATCCATAATCCTTGTACAAATTTAAAAAAAAATACACTGGTTGCAAGAATAATGCAGAATAATGCAAGAATAATGATTACTGAACTAATTAAAAACACTGTTTAGTAAATTGATTATCAATTTTGTATTACTCATGCGGGAAAAGTAGTATCTTGACGCTCGCAGTTGCGTTTGACAAAGAGCCGTTTGCCCATTTTAAAATTACGCGTGGGTTTTTTCATAAATAAAACTGTTATTTGAGTGCGACAAGTTTACTTGTCGCACGCAAATTATTCTTGGCGAACTCAAACTATCCTTGTCGCATTCAATTGACTGTGAAAACTGCTAAAATTAAAATAAATAACAAAAAAAAACACAATCTAACTGTCAATATTAAAGAAGTGAGGTTGACATTACAATATTTTTAATGATACCCTGGCATCATACTTCACTCGTCGAAAAACCAAATTTTTACTTGACTTCTCCGATTTTTTACCTAAGTAAAAATCGTAGATCATCGATCAATCGTCTGTCATTGCACGGTAGTTTGTAGGTGAAACGACCGTGAAACGAGCGTATAATGTCGGTGTCATTTAATTTCGAAATTACGGAAAAATTATTTGTTATCAAGAAAAAATATAACTTTATTTAAGCTATTTTTATCTGTACGATAAAAAAAATGACTTGGTTTTGACACCTTATCCTGTCACTGAATCGATCTTACGTGCAACGTCGCAGATAGCCTAACTGGTAAAGATTCGGGCGCGCGACCATATGAACTGGGTTCGAGTCCCGGTCTAGACTGTTCAAAGTATTTTTTTTTATTTTATTATCCGTGACAGTAGCGTAAAATCACCGTATTTCGACAGTATATTGAGCGTACGGTGTCGGTCATAACATTGCAGATTCACTTGCGTTTGCACCGTATATATTCTGTTAATTCACAGTGAATATCGTTCACAACTGTATCCGATGCAGACTGACAACTCGCTCGGTAACAACGGACTTTATACGGTGAAACGACTGTGAAACGACCGTGAAACAACCGTCAATCGACTGTGCTTTCACCGTGTTGCCGAAACCGCCAGGGTAGTGAAAATAATTTATTAATATTGAGCTGTTTAATTGTGATGAAAATTAATTTAGCAGAAAAATGATAATTTTAAAAATTTTGGTGAAAATTAAATTATGATGTGAAAAAAATTTTTTTTTAAATTGACATGTAGGAATTTTACAAAATAAATAATCTAATTTTTATGAATAATTTTTTGGAAAAAATTTGATTGTTAAAGAAAATTAAAAAATTGTGGTGACAGCTAACTTTAATGTCACTTAATTTTATATGTTGATTGTTTCAGTGTGTAAACTTATTCTATAGTAATTAATATTAATTAATTACTTTGCATTTATTATCTGATTTATATTTGTTTCTCTTATTTTAACTTTTTATTAGTTTTTAGGGACTCGGGGGGGCTCCGCCCCCCAACCCCCCGCCGGGGCTCTGCCCCTGGACCCCAATTTTGTACCCACATATACCACCGCATTTGTAATACAAAATAGTATGTGCAACTCGTGCGACGTTGTCAATTGCCCACTCAAGCGAATGACCGCACTCGCTTCGCTCGTGCGTTCAACTTCGCTTTCGTGGGCAATCGACAACTTGTCGCACTTGTTGCACAATATACTATTAGTGAAAAAACCCGTTTTTTTTAAACTTTAGTCAAAATAACTGTCGAAATATGGTGGTGTGGTCAAGAAAACTAAAAATATATACAATTTTAGGACTCATTTTTTTTTAAGCCTTGTCATAAAACTTTAATGAAGAACCCTATTTAATATCAAAACTTGACATTGCTTCATTTAGTTGTAATTAAAACATTTTGATCGGCATTCACACCGAATTTTCCTATTTTGGTCGGCCATATGTTTTATTTTTTTAGTAAACAGAATGTATGCATATCGACTTGTAAGTAGTTGATATAACGGAACACGTGAGGGCGTTTCATTGGCGTCATAAATAATGCACGGGGAATTATAAAAAAATTTAAATAACATACGTATGACATGAGCGCTTAAGGTAGTTCTACCGGTTTTAGAATTTACGTTCAGAATTTAATGAAATTTGGCATATTAGTACTTTATAATATCATAATTAAGCAGTAAAATTTTTGGAAGCCTGGCGTCTTGAAAAAAAGATATTAATATTTACATATTTTTGCCTTTACCATTGATCCTTAATGGAAAATCAAAGACTTTATTTTATTTCACAAAACTGGACGTTCAGATTCTTATAAAAATTAAGACAACGAGAGAAAATAACATCTAGAACATATTTAATAACAATTAGTATGGTTTCCGAGTATATGAGAATATTTATTAATAAAAAACATTCAAAATTTGTCTCTGTCTCTCTTTCTCCAACGTGATTTAGTATAGGGAAATAATCTACTACGTTAATCAAATAAGGTTAGGTTTTGGGATTTGACTCTTGGGGTAACGGTAGTAAGTACTATCTTAAGGCATGCACATTTAGTTTTACCTAAATTTTTATAAACTCCTAGAACTTTGAATTCTATTTCCGATCGAAGAATTAGAGATACAGAAAATCTTAAAAGAACCTTTCTAGTAGAAAATTTAATTTTCCGCAAAAAAAGGTTCTAGTTAATTTTCCTCTCTAATCCTTTACCCAGAATTTTAGTTTAAAATTAAATCCCAAGCTTATTTGACAAAACAACTTACTTATCAGACTTAAAAGTGAAAATTCTTTGTTAAATATTCAAAATTTAGACAAACTATAATAAACATTTATTATAGAAAACGAAATTGCCTACAAAAAAGGTTCTCATCAATTTTCCCTTATCTCATCATTCCTTCAAAAAATCAATTGAAAGTCCTAATAATTAATTATTCGGTACAATTATAAACTATTAGAACTTTACATTAGATTTTTTACTTAAGGGTGTTACAGATATCGAAAAATTACAAAAAACCTTTTTTGTAAAAAATTGAATTTTCTACAAAAAAGGTTCTGATCAATTTTCTTTTATCTCCATCCCTCTGGCCATAATTTGAATTCTAAATCTTAGCTGCTCCTAATCGGCATCATCAGCTACGAAATTATTGGAAATTGTATAAGTTTAGTTACTTATATTTCAGCAGGAATCAATTAAATGATCTTACAGAAAATCGATACTGAAATCAGATTAGCTCATGGTAAAACAATCATTATTATTATTATTGCCATAAATATTTACTAACATGATAAAAAAGCAATTGATACTCAGTAGATGTCCTTGCATCAAATAACAAGTTTCTACCTTCACAGTTTTAATAATAATAATAAGAGTAATAACAACATGAATGCAGCTGGTGAAAGACTAGAATATAATAATATTGTATATAGGTACACTATAATTATAATATTCATTCGGTCGACGCTCCTCAACTCCGACGGTCGCAGCAAAATGAAGTGGGCAGGTTTGTTAATTTTTTTAAAATTATTAATTAATAACTAATTTTTAAATTATAATTATTTAATAATTTTTTAGTTTTTGTGATTGTAATCATCGGAGTTGTCAATGCAGATGTTAAATCGGCCTTTCGGGACTCAAAAATTGTTCCAGATATTATTTTAAACGCACCCACAGAAGAAATAGAAGTAAGTTATTAATTTTAAATTTTATTTACAATTATTTTATATTAAAAAAAAAAAAAATTAATTCTTTTCAAGGTAAAATATGGCGACAAAGAAGTGAAATTAGGAAATGAATTAAAGCCAACTAACACCAGAGAAATTCCAGAAGTTCATTACAAACATGAGGGAGGTGTTTTATACACTCTTGTTTTAACAGGTAATTTTTTTAATAATAAAATTTAGCTATAAATATAAGTAGAATTTGTTTGAATAAATTTTATTAAATTTACGAAAGAAACTTTCACTTTGTTACTAAACCGGTTTGTGTTACTTGAATGTTTTCTGTTGATTATATTATTGTTCATCCGAGATACTTTTGTGTGAAAATTTTTACTTTCATTTAGAGAGAAAGTTTGTCGTAGGAATATAATAAATTGTAAAAGTTGATAAATAATACTTTAGGAAAATTGGAGGGATTTTTTTGGAAGGGGAATTTGAAGATGATTTTTTGTGGGGACCTAGGAGACACTATTTAAAGATGTTATAAAAAAATCAGGAAAATCGGGCGAGTGATTTAGAAGTTATCGTCATTGAAAATTTAAGGGTACACCCCAAAGCGCGGGGGTAGGAAATTTGAATTGAGATTTAGGGCCTAAGGATTGGAGATCTTGGAAAATTGTAAGAAACCTTTTTTGTAGAAAATTCAATTTTCTACAAAAAAGGTTCTCATCAATTTTTTTGTATCTCATCATTTCCTCAAAATCTCAATTCAAAGTCCCAATCATCAATTATTTAGTCTTATTCTCTATTGCTAGAACTTTAAGGAGGTCCTTTCGCTCCAGTTGAGTCTCAACAACTATAGTAGTCAATATTCGATAAATTAGAATAAAAAACTCATAAAAATTCCTAAAATTAAAAAATAAGTAGTATATGAGGCATTAATCGTTGAAATTTTGAAAATTAAAAAAAAAATAGTTAACTACAAAAATTAATTTTACTCTTGTGAATCAGCTGTTAGTAACCTGTCCGTGATTTGGCAACGCTATATTTCGGTTTACATTTTCATTTGCACAATATAACCTTAACCACGTGTAAGTTCTTGCACTCGGTGTAAATAAACAAATTAATTAAAAATGTTTAGTCGTATATTACTATTAGGGTGGCGCAAAAAAAAACCGACCATTTTTTTTTTGAGTCTCGAGTGAAAAAATGTTAATTTTTTATGTTTTAAGAGCCCTCACCAAAGGACAGCTCAAAAAAAAATTTTTAAGAGGTCACTCCAAATTTTTCAAAATTTCGAAAATCGTCAAAAATCGAATTTTTTTTTTTTATTTTTTTTCTCATTACGGTATAATTTTATAGACAAAAAAAATAAGTTTCTGAATGTTTCAGTTCAAAATTTAAATTTTGAAAGGTCGCTCATAATTTTTTTTATTTTTCGTTAATTAGTCATATCACCGACTTTAAGTGTTGGGAGTGGTACGTTGGGGTCTTTTTGGTTTGAAAAAATCTTAACCTACGCGGCAAGGTAAAATCTCAACCAAGCTGGTTTCTAAAACCAGCTTGGGATTCGAACTCACGCCTGGCAGTTGATTAAATAAAATTATTAAATTAAAAAAAAATTATATTTTCTATGTTGTGCTTGATTTTTAGTTCATCTCGTGATGTAATCTTATCGATTATTATACTAAATAAAAAAAAAAAAAATGCATGGAATTTTAATTTGAATAGTAAAAGGTACGCTCGAAAAAATTAAACTAATGCACTAACAAATTGAAAAAAATTATGAGCGACCATTCAAAATCCGAATTTTGAACTGAAATTTTCAGAAACTCATTTTTTTTAGTCTATAAAATTATACCGTAACGAGAAAAAAAAATTTTAAAAAAAATTTTTGATTTTTGACGATTTTTGCAATTTTGAAAAATTTGGAGTGACCTCTTAAAAATTTTTTTTTGAACTGTCCTTTGGTGAGGGCTCTTAAAACATCAAAAACTAACATTTTTTCACTCGAGACTCAAAAAAAAAAAAATAGTCGGTTTTTTTGCGCCACCCTAATGACTATGTTATGGTTTTATAAAACCATAACATTCTAATGTCTCATGGTGATAATGCTAGTATTATTTAATTATTGTTTTATTTTTCAATTATCAAATATGAAAATTTGTTAACAATAAATTAACTAATAAGTATGAATGAAAAACATAAGTGCGTTAAAGTTTAGTTTGAATTTATTGAATGGTCTGAAGCTCGCGCGCTACGTAACGTTGCCAAATTTTCTGACGCCATTTAAATGTAGGTTACTAAAAAATTTTCTGTGATTTTATAATTTTAATTTCTCCATTAATTCCACGGCAACCTATATATTTTATTGCACAAAATGAAACCTGAATATTTCAAAAACCTTATATTGAGTTTTTTTTACCCCATCTAGTCGGTAGTTAATACCATAATTCGAGAAAGTTGTTGAGGTCTGACTTTCTCGTAAGACTCGGAAAAAATACTAATAACATTTTTAGAAATTTTTTTTTCAAAAATTTGCACGGTGAAGAATAAATGAAACTTCACTAGTAGATAAATAAGGACTTTAACTATTAGATAAAAATTAATTTTATACATAATCTAATATTTTTTATTTAACATTGATGGCGGAAGGACTTCCTTAAATTAGATTCCTGGTCAAAGGATCAGAGATACGAAAAAATCATAAGAATTTTTTTTTTGTAGAAAATTTAACTCCTTACAAAAAAGGTCTGATCACTTTTTCCGTATCTCTAACCCTTCACTCACAGTTCTACTTTAAATTCTCAATCATCCATTGATACATAAAAATCTCTTCTAGATCCTGACATCCCAGTGCGCGGATATAATCGCGAGTGGCAGCATTGGCTGGTAGGAAACATCCCCGAGGACAAGGTAGCCAAAGGCGAGGTCCTCACCGAGTATGTCGGTCCAGCGCCACCTATGAAGTCCGGTAAGCATCGGTACGTCTTCCTACTCTATAAACAGAACCAAGGCGCGATAACTTTCGACGAGCGCCGCATTGGGAACCGTGACAAGCGTCGGAACCGATTTTCCATCAGGAAGTTCGCAGACAAGTACAATCTGGAGGGACCTATTGCCGGAAACTATTTCATTGCTCAGTACGATGACGCCGTCCCTTTGATCCACAAGCAGTTGAGCATTTAGTAATCATTAACTAATTATTAAATCATATGTTCAAATCAACATTGAGAAATTGGTTTTATTATCGATACAAAATCATTAAGACAATTTACTTTTTTGGTATTATGGCATTATTCATTATTTAAATACTTAATATTATTATTATTATTATTTTTAAATATCTATGTTCATTCGATAATAATTATTATACTGATTAAGATTAATTAATAAATTAGTTATAAATATATATATATATATATATATATA